AAACATTTATTCCAGTAGAAAAATAACACATGAATATTTGCTGTCAATTATTTTTATAAGAGATAAATGTACATAATGTCTTTGAGATGCGATTTGCTGTATACATGTGCTGAAATAAGACGAAGTCAACCCGTGTGGGACAACAGCAAGGTCCAGTATACAAAGTTTCAGTAATGTGCAATACAAGACGGCATGCTGTTTTAAAATGAGGAACTTCATGTACTGTACTATGCAACCGCAAACTGTGTACATCGCTTCATGCTGTGGCTTCTCCAAACACCCTTTTCCAAGCAGCTTCATCTGGACTTTTAGCGGATTTTTGTGTTTCTCTCTGTTTTTTTTCTGTGGAAGAAGAAAATCTAAGCGGCTAATGCGGTATTGCATGCATAATAAACCACTCTAATTTATAAAAAGGAGTTCAAGAAAAATACATGGAACTGGAGGTGACTGTGTTTCAGCCAGAGCTTCAAGTGACTTAAAAATATTTCTTTTTCAAAATAAAAGAGTCGTTCTAAAGTCGTGTGTTTTAAATTCTTTAAGCAATGTTTCACACAAAAGATAAATAAAAAAACCCAAACATTATTTGTCATCCTGTTAGAAGTAGCAATCAGAAAATGAGTACACTGTAGTGCTGAAGGGATGGATGTGGTCAGCAACAGTACCCAGGTAGGCTGCAACATTCAAATGAAGCTCAGTTGGTATCAAGGAGCCCAAAGTGTTGAAATTGTTTCACACCATTATACCAACAACAGTATGATACATTTTAGTCCATATTCGCAGTTGATCCACACTTTCATGTTGTTTACACCTAAATCTGACCCTACCATCTGAATATCACTGCAAACATCAGGACCAGTCAACATTTTTCCACTTTACTGTTTTTGTGTGTGAATAGGTGAATGAGCCATGTTGTATAAATTGCTATGAGTGCTCAAGTACAGTAGAAAACCCCCCCCAGTCCATTTACCTGAGCTGGATTGACTAGGTAATCTCTGAAAAACTGCAGATGAATTAAACTACACGCGAAAAGGTAATAGCACTTAAAAAAAAACCCACAACCTTACAGGTATTGAAATTTTACAAAACATAGTTTTCGCAAATGTTAAGTAAATAGTTACAATGCTAATATTTTACCGCTATGTCTGTTTCACATTTTCATCACCTAATTATAACATCTAATCTTGCCTCTGGTATTTTATAAAGAGAGAAAATTAATACAGAGTAGTGTTGAGTTTGGCTTACTGAGTTTATTCAGCCTCTACGGAAAATTAATCTCACACCATGATGTGTAGTTATATTACACTGAACAAAAATATAAATGCAACACTTTTGTTTTTGCTCCCATTTTTCATGAAGATCTGAAACATTTTCTACATACACAAAGGACCCATTACTATCAAATATTGTTCACAAATCTCTTAATCTGTGTTAGTGAGAACTTCTTGTTTGCCATGAACATCCATGCCACATCACATGTGTGGCTTGTCAAGGTTCTGATTAGACAGCATGAATATGGCACAGGTGTATGGGGTGCCGTTTGTAAAGTGAAACATGTTGAAATTAATGGCAACATTTTTCCACATTTAGCTCAAAACCTTACAAAAACATGTTTTTTCGAGTCATTTTTTACAACATTTAGTAAAATGTTTGTAACTTTTCATATTTAAAACACAATTTTAAATGTTAAATCTAAATGTTATATTTGATTCTAAATGTTAAATGTTAAATCTAAATGTTACAGGAAACTAAATATTTAGCTAACATGCAAATTAATTGTATGGATCCACAGAAATACCAAAATGAAAACTTTACGAAAACATCCGGTGCAAAAGTGTGCTGGTAGTAGTCGGATTGTGTCTGCTCTCCCCTGATGGTCACTTCTCACCTCCATGAGCGGCTTCACTTCTTGCCTAAAAGCCCGTCCAGCAATTTAGCTGAAAACATCGTAAGATTTTTTTTGTCTGCCATCCAAAGGTTCAGCAGTAGTGGACTCTCAGCAGCTGCAGTCTCACAATCGCTGCAGCACAAGTCCAGCTAAATCGCTGGATGTGCTGGTAGGCAAGTGAAGCCACTCATGGAAATGAGAAGTGACCATCGGGGAAGAGCAGACTCTAAGATGACCTGAAGTAACAATAAAATGTATAATGCTCACCTGGTGAATGGATTCTGACAGATGTTTACAGCTTACTGATATGAGCCACTGCAGCTGAATGCTGTGATCTGAAGACTGGATAGAATTACTTAGAGAGAGGCTGCATTAGCTTTTGGCTAACTCTGCCCAGTGGGAGGTGGGAATTCCTTCATAACCTCTGCGGTGTAGAGCGCTTAAATTGTAATTAAAACCTTATAGAAACTTGTGTCTTGACTCTAGAATAATGTTTAACTCACCGACTGCAAGATATTCAGGTCCTGTGGCTAGAAAATAAGCGAAGGTCATTACCCCTCTACCACCATTCTTGACTGTTGACATGAGTTATTTGTGCTGATATGTTTGGATTGTTTTTTATTTGACTCTGTGCATAATGGCCAAACGTCTCCAATCTGGTTTCATCTGTGCAAAGCACATTGTTCAAGAAGAAACGTAAGCTATGCTGCCATGCTCTTTTTAGAGAAAAGTTTTTTTTCTCGTATAATGAGGTCGATATTTAGATATAGAGCGATTAAAAGAAATAAAAGAAACACTTTGAAAACACATCAGATTTCATTGGCCAAAGGTAATCCAGGACTGCACATGCTCCGCCCAGGTGGGGAGGAAGGTGGGAATGGTTGAATTTGGCGCCTCTACCCCCCACTCATCTCTCCTTAACCAGACTCACCAGAGAGTTGGTTTTAGCCTCTTTCCACGCTTTAAGAAGGTTAAGGTGATATATTTGGGTGGCTCCTCCCCTGTCCAACCGTACCCACCCACTCGCCCTGTGACCATGAAGGGTTCTTGCCACTTTGCAAGTAACTTTGCGCTGAAAAAAAGGGAGCAATACAAGCATCTTCCGGTGAAAATTGCCTATGTTGTGCTGCTGTTATTCCTGGGCCTGGTGCAAATTCTCTCGTGATTACCTCCCCAACATGTGCAACTTTGCTCTCAGGCCCAGAACCTATTGAATCTAATTATTAGGTGGGCTCAGACCTTCCTCCCAGTTTTCTTTATTCAAGTCCAACAAGCCTCGTGGCTTCCTGCCGAACAACAACTCAAAGTGAGAAAATTCCATGGAGGCATGGGGCACCTCCTACACTGCAAACAACAGAGGGTCTAACCAGAGATCCCAATTGCGTTCATCCTCATGAGTAGAGGACTGGACTTTAAAGTCTTATTCAGCCGCTCCACCAATCCATCAATCTCAAGGTGGTAGATGCTGGTCTGAACAGATTAATGCCCAGTAATTTGTATAGCTCTTTCAGTGTGTGGGACATGAATAAAGTTCCCCGGTCAGTCAGTATATCTTTCAGGATGCCGATGTGGGAGATGACCTGAAAAGTGCCTGCGCCGCACTCTTTGCAGAAATGGTGCGCAGCAGCACTGCCTCTGGATATCTGCATAATATGCCGCATAATCGACTAGAACAAATACAAAGTGATATCCTCGTGCACTCTGATAAAATGGCCCGATGAGGTCCATGTCAGTGATCTCAAACGGGACCTCCATTAACAGCAATAGGCATAAAGGCACTTTTGGAATGGCTGGCTGGTTCGCCAGCTGACACCACAGACACATAAGCCCACATGCTTGGCCATGAAAATTGGACCATTATTCACCGTGGGGTTATAGTGAGCGACCTGGAAAATCAATTCCCAGCAGCTTTTAGGCACCAGCAACTGGGTGTGCTCTTTTTCAAAGAGAAAAAAAATCAGTTTTTATTTCTTGTTATGAACCAAACTCACGCATTCAGCATGCATAGAAACATTCTATTTGAGTGCATTGGTCAACATTTGCTTTAACTTTTCCAAGTCAACTTTCTTCATGATGATGGCCTTATGGTCTTTCTTCAGCTTCTGGATGTAGTCCACCACCATCATGCCTCGGGTGTAGGTCCCCTCCAACTCCACTGCCACCGCAACCTGAAGGAGAAACACAAGAAACTGTTAAACAATACTTGAAATTTTACTTAACCTGATAAAAATCAGGAGTTGCTTACCTCTTCGCTCTCAGTTATCAATGTATCATCGATGGCAGCAGCTAAGGCATAGACGTCACAGGAATTAAAACCAGTTCCTGCAGTAATCTCCTTCTTATAGTCAGCTGATTGGGCTTTCTGTCAAATCAGTACATCAGAGGTATTTAGACATTTTGTGATTATCAGTGTAGGGAATAGGGATGGGTATCGAAACC